TTATACTATATTTAGTTATTTTAATTTTATATTTTTAATAGGTCATTTATGTATTTCTTTATATAATTTTAATTTGACAGTTTTGGCCATTTGTACTTAGCCAGAGAAAAAACAAAGACTATATAAAAGATGGACATGGCTGTCATCGTTCTTGAAACAAGGACGTAGAGCTGCTGTAAAACAATCTGTAAACGGTCAGAGCATTTCCAACCCAGATCCAGTCCCACCTACCTAAAAAAAATAAAATAAAATAAAAAATCTTAGTTTAAGTCTTTGTTGGCAGCCTAAAAAAGCAATGATACAGTAAATTAAAAACTTCTTTTTGTATTACTAACAGAAAATATCAAAGGTTTCCTTTATACACACTGGATAAAAGCCAGACTTTCAAAAGGTGTCTGTCTTAAATTTTAACCTTTTGAAAACTACAACACAAAAAAATATGGGATGCAATAAAAACCCTGAGATGATTGGATAATGCTAAAACTGCTGTACTGTCATGACTTTAAGCTTGCTGTTATGTGCACTCTCTCATTGTGTAGGTCACAATAAGGAATTATTGTGTCAAGTTATCACACGTGTCGTGGCATGCATGGTTTCTACTTTGACTCAATAACGATTATCTCCAGTTTCTACTCATGACGGTTTGCTGATTTCATTACTGTTTCCAGCTGTAAAACAGAAACTAAATGGTGACTCTTTCTAGGCCACCTGTGCAGGTAATAACGTAGTGTTTCAATCACAAGAATGAAAGTTGATCTTTAATTTGTTTAATTAATCCCAGACGTATTATTCTGTACTGCAAGTGTTTGTGTGAATTCAGATACTCAAACAGGAATGTACTATTGTTTGCAATGCAGTACTAAGGAAATGATCTTACACCATGACGTTGTTGCAAAGTTTCCCCGCTGGAGCTGAAAATATTTTTGCGGCTCCGGGGTAAATAACTGCCTCATTAATCAGTCTGACCAAAGAAACCTGCAGGTGCTTACGCGGGCCTTCAGTTTTTAGGTTGGTGTAATTTACCACAGTATTTAATTCTGATGCTAGGCCTAAATTATCCTCCAGGAAAAGTGTAATTTTATATTTTAGCATTCCAAATCCGACTGAAGTCAGTTATCTACATTATCCCACCACTGCTGAGACAATCTGGGAGTTGTTTCCTGTTCTGTTCAGCTTTAATCTTGGGTATTTCCACCATCAGGCCTGCACTGAGAGCCAGTAAATACATTGCAAAACTGAAACTGGTTCTTTCCCATATACACAGTCATGCGTGTGCGTGTTTGTTTGTTGCTGCCTTCCTGATACATTCCCATCCAGCCCGCCCCCGTGGCTGCCAGCTTTTTTTAAACTTGGAAGCAGCTTCCTGTTTGGCAGTCATTTAACACTTAAACGTGGGAATATGGTATCTAAAGGCAGAATAACACACCGCCTGCCAATACATGACTAAGAGTGTGCAGGCTAACAGTTGAGTCCAAACCAGTGTGACAACTAACAGATTTTCAGCTCCATCCAAACAGCACTGACCTTAATGTGACTGAGACAACAAACACATCATAGTCCTCTCAACGTATCTTCTTTAAAATATGTCGGGCGGGTTTAACGTGCACATAAGGTGGAACAAAAAGAAAGTGATGATCCAGTTTGCAGATATCATTGAACGTGGAATATGTGCCAGATGCTCGGTGAATGGAGTTTTATAATCCACTTTCGTGGTTGAATGAGTCTTTTGTGGCAGGTTTTTGTTGTGCGTCTTCTCCACAGAAATTATATTCAGAAATCCCCTCCTGGCTTCACTTTCTTCACTCACTTAAATACTTCATGTGTCATAAATGGTGCATGCGGTAAAGGAGGAAAGCTCATGATTCTTTCAGATGTCAATAAAACCCAATGGAAACTTGTTTCAAAAATAGTTTTATTAAATACTTCATGTCCTAGCTATCATAAATACAGAAAACAATAAGTTATGATGGCTATTCAGGAGCTGAAATGGAGAGGGGACCATCTGTTCTGAGGGGGTCTAGGTCTACGGGTGTTAGCCGCTCTGGGACAGCTGAACTAAATCCCACAGCAACGGCTGGGAGAATTAATCCTAGAATAAATAATGGGGAGACGGAGCACCTTTGGCTGAGGACAAAACCGTGTCCTGACAGGATCACAAATGAATCCTCCTCCCCCAGCGACCACAGCTTCCCTTCAAAGTTGTGTCTTCTCTTTCTGAGAGCGGCCACTTGTCAGTTTTCGTATTTTTAAAAAGTCTCTTCTGTTGAAAGTCTGCGCCAGGATTTCATTTCCCTTTAAGATGAAACAAACAGAAAAATTTAAGTGATCATTTTTACTAATAATCTGTAAATAAAAGCTACAAACTCAGGACGTACACATTGCTGCCAGACACGATTCTCTCCTGGTGTTGCTTCGTCAGACTGAACCTCCTGAAGAACGTGGGCAGTTTGAGCTTCGCTCTGGCGGATCTCGAGGAAATGCTGAAAAGAGAAAAGACTCTCGTGTCAGACTGGGCTTTGGGAAGAATGCTGTAGAGCCGAGGCGCTAATGAGAAGCTGTGTGGACAAATGGACTGCTCGGCACTAATGTGTAAATGACTCGGTATGACAGGAATTTTATATTCAGCACTCCCTCCAAAGAGGTTTTGTTCTCATTTTCTGCCATTTAAAACATTTACAGTCCTCAACTTCCACATTGTAATGTTTAAAGACTCAAAATGATAAACCCACCATTCTCCTTGTAACTGTTTATCTTCTATCCTCTCCTGTGCAGCTGTTTGCTTCTCTCCGTCCTCCTCTTCCTCTTCTTCTCTTACGTCCACATCCTCTGGTATCTGGTCCCACAGCTTGCTGTTGACCCACAGAGCTTCTCGAAGACCTCGACCTCGGCCTATGCAGGTCACCCGGCGACACAAAGGGCAGCCCACGGTGAGCAGACCGTTCCTCTCCGTTGACATCCTCTCCAGACACGAATCGCAGAAGGTGTGCCTGCAGTGGAGCACCCGGGGGATCCTTTCCACCCGGGAGTAGGGCAACAGGCAGACGCTACATTCGCCATCCTCACAGAGAACCATGGTCAACCCCGACAACTTGTGGAATGAATGATTTTTCTACAAAATCTAAATTTTTAATGGGTGTGAAAAGGCTTTCTGCAAGTCCGGTGTTTGGAAACAATGGTGAAGATGATGGCTCCTGCAGGTCCCAAGCTCACCAAAGTGACTCCCTAATACATTAAAAAAACATTTTTATTAGCTATTAGAAGCATTGTTGCATCAAATTTAAGTTACATTTGTAGTTAAGATGTCCAATTAAGATCTAATAATTTAATATTTAAATAAAGGTTAATCTGGATTATTGTAGGATTATTGATGTTCTATTCCAGACAATGGAGCTGATTAGAAAGGACAGCAATATACCAAAATACACTACCATCTACTATCTTATGCTGATTTGAAAGAAAAATGTTTCAATAATAATAATAATAAAGAGTGTACTTACAGCTGGCCTTTGCGTGTAATTTATTGTCCGTCTTTGGCTGCACAGCTCAGCCTCTCTGCAGTAAATGGTGTCAGAAAGCCGGCTCGTCTGCCTCCTGTTAGGAGTGTCTGTTGGGTTTGTGGGGGCGGAACAGAAACGTCTCTAGCTCTTTCTCTTTCTCACGGCCCCATACCCACCCAGCATAACAGCTGGGGAAGCAGAGCGGCTGGGACGCTCTTTGTTCAGTGTTTGACAACAGGCAGGTGGAGAAACGGGGAAATGACGCAATGGAAGGCGGGTGTAGTCAAACAGAAAAAGTAATCTAGTTAGCTTTAACATTAAAAACATCCTTATGTTTCAAGATAAATTGAAAAGGGTTGATATCCTTTAGGAAAAATAGAAAAGGAGGGCTCGTCCGGGATTTGAACCCGGGACCTCTCGCACCCAAAGCGAGAATCATACCCCTAGACCAACGAGCCAGTTGCAGGGAATCCCGTGGTAGCGTTTTTATATGTTAACACATCCATGAATGTACTTAATCAACAATCATCGCATCGCTATAAGAGAATATATATCGCAACCTCAATATAAGGACTAACCGATGTCAGCAAATTCCTGAAAACTGTTTGGACGGAATCGACGTAAGAAATATTTTTCTTTCCAAAAATACAACTGACCACAAAGAGTAGGGACCCTACACTATTTTCTTGGTTTCTACCGTGACTGGCACAGCATATAAATCACCGGTTCTGAGACCGTCCTACTTTGGCAAATCGTCCTATACGTACGATAATTTGAAAGTGACTTCTGACAAACCGTAACCATAACCCTAATCATAACCATAACAAATATTCACATTGGCCTAAAAAAATGAAGTCAATTTGGGGTTTGTGTTTTTGCGCACGCGTGGCGCATGCGCAGAAACAACGGGTAGAGTTTTTAGTGTGGTGGGACGGATTCCCAGAACACCAGAACACAACCACAAGCCAATTCAGAAGTGAAAACGCGCATTAGCTTGAAAACTGGTAGCAGTGCTGACCACTTACGTAGACTCCACAAAAATTCACTGCAGATGTTTGAAGTAAATATGTCAACAGTCCTTAACGGTACAAAAATTGGGCTCGTCCGGGATTTGAACCCGGGACCTCTCGCACCCGAAGCGAGAATCATACCCCTAGACCAACGAGCCACGTGTTCATAGAATGTCTGACAATATCCTTTAATCTTCTAAGAAGCCAACAAGATGACCTATATTATGATAATATTTGTTAAAAAATCGTTACAGGCAACAGGGAATTTCCAAATACGAACTTTCATAGCTAGGCGTGTGGATAACAGGTCTGTTTTGAGTATTTTAAACAAGCTGCTTCCTGTGCTCTGAAGTTACGTACAGCGTGTTGACATCACATGCAGTGGTGGAGTTACCGCCATACCTCAGGAAGCGCGCTGTTCGGTTGTGCAGTGTAGTCCAGCTAGTGATGTAAACAAATAAAGTTGGATGAGTTGACACGGACCAGCCACAGCCAGCAGCTAACGTGAGCTAACAATGCTGTAAGCAGAAACCACCTCCGTGTAGCAGTGAGGTCAGCCATGGTTTAGCTCGCTGTGTATTATGGGTTGCTAGTAACGTGTATGGTTGCTAAGTTATAGTAAACTTCTTGCGTAGGGAAAGGGCACGTGAAGCACCCGTAAAGCAAGTCCGCTTTAAGTTACTAACAGGGCTGACGTTACTTTGAACCAGATGGAGGCTTTTCTGGGGTCGATGCACAGCCCTGATCTGAGGTAAGTTGCACTGCGCTTAAAGAACTAACTTGGGCCATGAGCATTTACAGAAATTACACCCTTTTCGTTATTTGGCTTTGTCTTTCAGCTCAGTCCTTTCATCGTGTGAGCCGGAGCTTCAGGAACTGATGCGACAAATTGACATCATGATCAACGATCAGAAGAAGAAGTGGGAAGATGAGAACCGCGCCTTGGAGCTCAGGCTGAAAAGTAGAGAAGAGGAACTTTTAAACTCAAGGAGCACAATTGAACGGAGGGACCTGGAGGTGAAATAGAAGAGCTTAAGAGTTTATACTAAACAGGAGCAAAGTTCTAAAAGATAAATGATGATGTGTACACGTGTTGATCCAGTGTTGGTACTCCTCCCTCGATCCTGTTAGTGATGTTTGTGGACAGGATGTCAAAGTGTAGCCGGTGTTAGGTGGTGTCCATTGTGGGAACCTCAAAATCACATCCCTGTGTTGTGCAAATGATCAGATCAGCGAAACTTCAAGATATAAATATAAAAGGACATACGTATTAACATTAATGTTTCTGGGACATTAACAGGTCAAAGGTGCTGCTAGGTGTGCACATATACTTTGTGGCAGAGTGCAGTGAGGTGTGTTTAGTCTTGATCAGTATGTGTGGGTCTGACTCAAGTAGATGAATTAAAGAGTCTGATAGCAGCAGACTCTCAGACAGTGAGGTTAAAAGAATCTCCAGGCTGATGAGCTTCACGCCGACTACAGATTCGGCATTCCTGATGAGGTTATTCAGTCAGTTTGCATCCAACAGATATTGTTCTTCATCACAGCATGACCATCAGCATGCACTGGAGCAGTTTGCAGCCAGGATGAGGGCATGCACCTACAGGTCTGAGGCTATGATCTTAGTCACTAGTGATGGGAACGTGGAGTGTGATGTGCCTGCAAACTCCTAAAGTGCGTGCTGAAATCTGGAGAATGACCTAACGAGTGTGGTGGTAGATACAAGCAGTTGAAGTGAGTCTGGGCGTAGCGGTAGGATTAGGAGCCAGGACATCTGGAGGGAGCTCAGAGTCGAGGCACTGCTCCTCGCTGTTAAAAAGAGCAAGTTGAGATGGCCTCTAATCAGGACACTTGCTCCCTTTTGAAGGTTTCCCAGCGGCGTTGCTTTGTCTGCTGCCGCCACAAAGCAACGTCAGATGAGGAAAAGAAAAATGGATGTTGTTGATATGATTAAATTAGCCTTTATTTAAGTAAAACTAGATTTGGATCCTTTATTTTTGTTGATGATGATAAAATTTGTAGATTGTGAACCTGGAATTTTTGTGGGGCACCAACGATGAAGTGGGGTGGTGCGTCAAGGCTCAGTGTGAATAAATAAAGAGCATTTTGAGTAGAGACCAAAAATAAAAATATGCAGCTGGTAATGAGCATAGCTTCAATATAAGATAGTTGCTAACACAGCTCATAAATTGAGTGCTCATATTAACTCTTTCCAACACCATTACTGTCCTCACCCATGACTGTAGATTGGATTACTCCGCAAGCAGCTTGAAGATGTCAAGACTGGTCCACAAGAGTTAGCCGCCAAGTACGAGCAGCAACTGCGCAAACTCCGTGAAGAGGTGCGAAAACTTGTCTGTTACAAATCTTTTCTGCTTTTGCTTGGGCAGAAGTTTACAGTTTTTCTGTTTGTACTCACTCTCCTGCATGATTTCAAATATAGTAAGTGCGTTTCTATTCCTGCAGTTGGATAAGTTAAAGAGAAGTTACCATAAGCTTCAGCGCAAACACCTCAAGGACGCTAACGCAGGAGTGAAAGAGACAGACCTCCAGAAGGTGAACCCTGACATCACCCCAGTCATGCCATTGGATTGCTGCCGTCTTCTGGGTATGTGAGGTATAATGAAGCTCCCCTCTCTCTGCAGGAATATCATCAGCGCTCTCTGGAGTGGGAGCAACAGCGCACCCAGAGCCGGCAGGAGCTCACAATCCTGGAGACCGAGAATAAGAGCTTGAAAGATGAGCTCTCACACATAAAAGTAAGTTCAGTGACTTCAGCATGTAAAGAAAGCAGAGGCTTGTTTGTTTTATTCACCACGTGTTTTCTGTTGTTTCCAGTCCCAGTGGGCAGCGCACCAAGTGGAGAGGGAGCACAGGGATTGCTGTCTGGAGGTGCAGCGCCTGCGCTCTCAGCTGGAAAAAGCTCAGAGAAGTCTGCACACGCAGGAGCTGGAACTGGAGCGTCTCCGACCACTTGAGAGTTGGAAGGTAGGTTCAGAAACCTGGGGAAGGTGATAGGACTGAAGATTTTCAATTAAACAACACTCACAACAAGTTTCTCCGACATGTATTAAGCCTGAAAGAAAATGAAAAAGACTTTAGTCTACCGATCAACTTTATCGGTGTCGAGAAACTGAGCTTCAACATTTAATCCAGTGCCCATAAACCTCTTAATGTTGATTTTTCAGTTAAGCATTTACAAGCTCAAAGTTCCTCATAGGTGGCAGGTTAAAATATCTTTTAATCAGCTGATGATCCGCTGTTTTGCAGGTGCTTTCTGAGGAATGGGAGGAGCTGGACTCCCAGGATGCATTTGTGCGGCAAGCCAGTCTTGAGCACCAAAGACTTCGTAACGAAACAGCCAGATTCAACCAAGCACTGCAAGCTAAAGATCAAGTCATTCGGTGGGTGTATGTCTAGTGATGTAGTTCAGCAACTTATACAGAAGGGGGCGTACTGCGTCCACACTGTAGGCAGGATATTGCTTTGTAGCACTGTAGCTTTCCAAGTGACTGGCTCTGAAGTATCTGCAGCCAAAACGAGAGCTGATCAAATTCTTTAAATGCTAAGCAAACTGGCCATCTACCTGCAGACTGTGTTAGTTGTAGATGTAGGCAGTGTGAAAAATGTGGTATAACCGGTCTGTGGGCTACTCCTGCTTGTGCTGTTGTTGGTCTGTCAGCGACTGTTAAATACGACCCGAGTGTTGAAAACCACAACAAGTGTCCACTGCAGCCACGGTCTGTACTTTTCATACTGTAGTTTTTCTCATCTTTAATGATTGTTTCATGGTTCTCCCGTCCCTAGTGAACAAGCCTGTTTATTTAAAATTACAACATCAGTAATGAAGTGATACTTTTATCCAGCCTGCATGAATCAACACATCCTCCCTAACATCTTTTCTTCATCTTCTGATGTTTTCTGTTGGGAAAAACAATTAGCTATTGTCCATCATAAAGGTTGCCATCCTGTGAATGTTTGCGTGATGTTCTTGTGCAGCTCTCTGGAAGACTGTCTGGTAGCTCAGGGCTGCACCGGTGTGGAAATCCTCAGACGAGAGCTGGAGAAGACTGCAGCCAAGCTCCAAGGTGCCCAAGCATATCAGGGTCATCTCAAGGCTGAACTGGCATGTCTCAAAGAGAGGTAATGTTAGTCCGCCCCTTCATGTAGTCCAAAACCCAAGTTAGTTTTTTAGTCTTTTACTCCTTTTAGTCCTGTCTTGTGCTGAAGCAAATAGTGAGTGAGTGGGAATGGGGTGCGCCTGATTTATATCACAAGAAGAAAAATTACAGACCGAATCACTTTTCTCCAAATCAGACGTATTTTAGGATGTAGCTATCAGGAGAAAAGGAACCGTGGGAGCAAGAAGTTGCAGAGTGATGCTAATATTTTTTAGTCCTTGTGTGGGAATATTGAATATTTATGCAATGTAGCTTTTGAATGTCTTTGGACCTCGGTGGTCCTTTTTAAATGTGTATATGCACTGAAATCGACCTGAAGTAAATTAAGAAAAAAAATGCAGAGCACACAGAGTTGTCAGTGGATTTCATTCAGATCTTTTTTCTGTGCGAGTCATTGCTTTTATTTGTCTGGACTCAGGCTGCAGGTGGTGAGTAAACAGAGAGATGACAACTTGAAGACGGAGCAAGAACTGCGAAGCCTGAAAGCTGAATGTGACTCTTCTATGGCTGAAGCGAAAAGGGTCTGTGTTTTTGTTTTTGTTCTTTTTTTTTTTTTCATTCTTGTTCTTGTTGTTTAACATCAGCTCTGCGTCACTACCTCATGTCCTGCCTACGTTTGATCTACAGCTCAGAGAGGACCTTGAGCGGGCCAGGCAGACTCACAGCGGCGAAGTTGAGGGAATGAGAAAGGAGGTGTCAAAGCTGACCAGCGAGCTGCACGAGCGCGACCTCGCCGTCGCCAATCTGAGCGCCTCCTCGTCCAGCATCAAGCAGCAGCTTCGCGATGAGGAGGAGCGATCAGAGAAGAAGTCTGCTGAGCTCAAAGTGAGTTAATTCAGTTGAATGCAGTGCCAGTTCACAAAAACAGTGATTATGTAGGTAAAGACTTCTTCTAGAGAGAAAACTAGAATGATCAGACGAGCCTCTGTGAGCAGCAATCCCTTTAAAAATGGAGATTTTCCAAGGCCCCTTAAAGCATCTTCTGCTAATAACAGCAAGTTTATAAATGATCTAGATTAATGGACTGCATGAATGCTGTACTGGGCAGGGACTGGACAGTGAAACTTGAAGCTTTTAACCAGAAAAATGGTAGACCCTTAACAAGCTGATGGTGTAACGTCCTGTCCTTTGCTGCTCTCCGTTTGTGTAATCGGCTCTCTAGAGCACAGGTGTCGAACTCCAGGCCTTGAGGGCCAGTGTCCTGCAGGTTTTAGATGTGTCCTTGATCCAACACAGCTCATCCAAATGGCTTAATTACCTCCTCAACATGTCTTGAAGTAGGGCTGTGCGATATGACCAAAATCTCCTATCCCCCTATAAGAATTCTATCGTCCCGATAACGATATAAATCACAAAAATGTAACATTTTCTGTAAATTCTGTGAACCTCGGGCAGCTCGACTTGCGGGAAGTGTTTCCAG